TTTTGCTGTCACCTCTCACCCGGTGTTTTAGTAACCACTGGTGAGCTAAAATGATTTTCCTAAGTCTTCCTAACTTTTGTCCTTCCTTCTTTCCTTCCATTCATCTGTCTATCCATCTGTATCTATCTATCATCTAATTCTATTATCCTTTCTCCATTTATTAGTTGGCAATCATCTATTAAGAAGAGTTTCCCTACAGCCATAAAAGATAAAATGTTTAATTATATCTCTTAATTCCCAAATTTTAGAATCAAGACATGGTGCAACTTCCACATTTGAGAGAAACATTCAATCCTTGACTTTCTGGGTCTGGCTTATTTCACTTGGCATGATGTTCCCCACTTCTATCCATTTTTACCAGCAAATGCCATGATTTCATTCTGCTTTATGGATGAGTAAAACTTCATTGTGTAAATACACCACAGTGAATGTTATCTTTATGTATATCTATAAAGAACTAACTTTTACAAAACTATAAATAGAAGGAAGACCAGTAGAGTAGAGGAAAGGGAATGGGGGAGGGAGGAGGGAAGGGAAAGAGGGAGTACTAGGGACTGAATGGGAGCAAATTACATTTATACTTGTATGATTATATCAAAACGAACCCCAATATTATGTAAAACTATAATGCACTAACTAAAAAAAATAGAGTTGGTATAAGAGTCACCTCCAATAATAGAAAATGTGATTTTGACTCCTGCTTTTTTACCACTATGGATTTGTTGATTTTTAAAAAATATATTGTCCAGCTCTGTCCACTGAAAGAACTTAGAACCAAAATCACCCAGTACAAAGAAACCTACTAGCCTCTGGATCCTGGTTTCTAATTACTAGCTCCTACTAAAGGAAGCCTGGGATCACTGGAGAAGGGACTGACTTCAGAATCAAGGCAGATAAATCCAAGAGGAATCTGAGACACCTCATTAGGGCAAATAAGACAATTTGAACATCCCCAAGAGTGACTGTGTTTTGTACACAAAGCTTTATTCTGAGTTTTGAGTCATTTCCTTAATTCAGCTATCCAGAATGGAATTCCAAGTTCAGGGTATGACTATACAATACACACATACATACATGCATATATGTATGTATGTATGTACATATCTATATGTGCATGGATGTGTGTATAGATGTGTACACACACACACACACACACACACACACACGTATTCCTTTTCCTAAAGGAATTTGAACCACACACATCCCACCATTGATGCTGGAGGACACCCCGTGTAATACCAGTGAGGGCTGCATTTCGATAATTGCTGCTGAGGAAAGGGTTTCCAATCAGAGAGCTCACTCTCAGCTTCCCCGGGTGTCCACTATCTAGTCATGGTGAAGTCTGAAGCTCATAGATGACAAATGTGACAAAATAAATCCATGATCTTTCAGGGACTTTGCCTTATCATTTTCGTCCATCCGCAGATGTCCTTAGGTTAATGGCTAGTATCTCAAACTGCTCACGTTTTTCTAACCCTGGTTTAAAATTACATTTGGAGGCTATTATTAGCTTTAGATCTCTACTTGCTGCTAGGCTGAATACTGATGATTGGCACGGGACACAGAATGCTCTGTGTGGAGAGACTGCAGCCAGGCGTGGTATTTATCAGAATGTGGCAGTAACAACCTCTTCTTTGCCTTCCTGATGCTCAGTAAATGCTTTGCAACCACCCAGGCAGGGCAGAGAGGCTGTAGCAGGGCTCTCCAGGATAATCACAGATGATTTCTGTGCTGAAGGCAAAATTAATTGAATACTGTCTGCCTTCTTTTACTTTACGTTTTCCTGTAAGAAGCAGGTCTGTGGGTCTTCTCTGGGCATTTTCTGTATGAGCAGAGATGTTTTCCATTAGACATGTGTGTCTGTTGATGAAACAGTGCTGAAGGTAGCAGCTTTCATTTTTTAAAATGTTTCTATTTGCCAAGCACCAGGCTAAGCATTGTAAATGTGTTATTTCACTTATGTTTCAAAGCCACCTAATAGGGTACACACGAATAACACCCCCAGGAGAGCAAGGCTTAAAGAGGGCCGGTAACTCACCCAGGTTTGCACAGCAAACCTGTCTTCAGTGCAGACCTGTCTAACTCCTGTGCACTCAAATGCTTGCTATGTTAGGCTGTGACATTCCCTAGGCTCTCCTGGGCCAGCCCATAGTGGGGGTCAAATGCATATACTAATGTCAGAGCGATGGTAGGGATTATGGAGTTTCTCTTGAACATCTCAGGAAAGGTACACAAATCCATACTATTTAAACAGGCTAGTTCTTTTCTTCCTTAACAAGAGGCCACTTAGACAAATGAAGTAGAAGATAAATGGGATTTGGCATCAGAGGACCTGGATACAAATCCTGGTTTTAAATCCAAGTTAGCCGACCTTGCCACGCCCTTGTTTCATGGACTGCAAAATGGGGTAGAAGCGGTTGTCTACTTTGCCAGGTTGTCAAATGGTTTAGATGGAATAACGCAGGCACACAGCACCAACTGTTATAAAGGCCTGTGACTGAGCTTATTATCATGGAGCACTAGGGAACAGGGGGGCTGCTGGGATTCTTTTACTCTGATCCCAATGTATGTTCTGTTGATTTACACATATTCTCTCTTCCAAGCATTCTGGAACCTAGCAACTGGTTAGCTCCTCTTAAACTGAATATCCTTCACATTGGAGCTACTGGATGAAGCATGTCATGAATGAAAAACTGCTTGGTGTCACTTAGGTCACCTCTGAATGACCCCTGGGGATACATCCTGTTTGCACATAGAAGTGCCTCTGCCATGAGTTTTGGGCTCATTTCTTGGATTTCTTCCAGTCACCAAGGCTTGGAAGAGCTCCTCAGGCTTCATTCTGCATTTCATAAACCCTAGAAGTAAAAACCAGGTGGCTCTAGAGAGCATCTGGCCATTTGACATAGGAGAAGATAGACCCGGGAAGACTAGTGCCTTTAGATGGTGATTAGGAAGACAATCACGGCATCGTCTCATGTAGTTAAGAAGAGCCTTGTGAAGCTTCTAGTTTAATGATCTGGCAAATGGATAAAGAAGTCGGGAGGCGGCTGGCTACAAGGGAAGCCATGAGCTTTGCTATCACCCAGACCTGGGCTCCGGTTCCAGTGGGTTGGCTTATTGTGTGTGTGACCTTGGAAAATTTGACTGCTGTGTCTTGATTTCTCCACCTATGAGAAGGAGCTCTGCGTTTGCCTTGCTCATTGCTGAGCCAGAGAAAAAGAGAGGGGGGCGGGGTGGAGAGCGAGGGAGATGATAGAATAAATGAACCAGAACAAAGTGAGCAATCCATAAAGTCTGGTATTTGCAGTTAGAGTTCTGTTGCAGTTACTCCATCTCAATAGCTGTGTGGAAGAGTGATTATAATCAACAGAAGCCTTCTTTTCTTTCTTTCTCACCGTTTCAAATATGCCCTGAGTGCTTCTACGTGCAAGCCATTGACTGTAAGGCCAAGATTTCTCAATAGGAATGAGACTGCATATGTTCATGCATCTGAGGAACTTTTCTGGAATTTGGGACATTTGAGTTTGGGTTTGGTCATGTTCTAATCCAAAGGGTGGTTAAGAACATCTAGATTTGAACTCACAACTTCACCTGCAACAAAAACCCACTGCATTTATTTAACATGCAGATACCCGGCCACTTTATCCTCTTTTGCTCCTCAACCTCACACCAGTTCTTTCTCATTTCTCCCACAATTACATTGTCATCAAGCAACCAACCCTGCTTGATGGGCAGTCCTTGTCTTTTCAGGGTGAATGGGTTAGTTAAGGCAGGACTACTGGTTCAGCTGATTCTTAGAACTTTTCACTGGGGTGAGAAGTCAACCATGCCTTGAAATTACATAATGTCTAATCCACGTGTGATCCAGAGAGAGGAGTTCAAGCAGTGGTCATATGTCCTCAAATACTTCTAGGACACTATAGTCCCTACCAGTATCTGTCTCCCTAGTATCACCTTAAATCTCAACAGATGAAGCCAAAGAGGTCAGGAGGAGGACGAGTCTCTCTCCTCCACCAAGACCAGATGCTTCAGGAGATTAGGGAGTCTATTCTTCTTAGTCATTACATCTCCAGTGTCTACAACAGTGCCTGGCATACAGAGGGTCCCCGAAGTAATGAGTGAATGCATGAACGAGAAAGAATGACTTGATTTTTGCAGGGATCCGGTCTCAAATTTTGATGATTCAAGATATACATCACTGTCAATAACTTTGGAAAAGCACTTTTAGAAAGCACATTACTTTCAGGCTGGGATTGGGACTCAGTGGTAGAGCGCTTGCCTAGCATGCATGAGGCACTGGGTTCAATCCTCAGCACCACATAAATATAAAATAAAGATATTGTGTCCACCTTCAACTAAAAATATATATATATATAAATAAATAAAGTTTTTTCAAAAAACACATTATTCTCAATATTCAAGTCAGAGGGGCTGTTTCTCATAGAGCAGGCAGGAGGAGGGAAGGGGTGCTAGGATAAGAGGGTAATTCTAAAGCAAATAGTGTAGACACAAAAGGAATGAAGGATGACAGAGGAGCCCTTGGGTAGATGTGGGGCCACATCCACCAACTTCCTCTTAAGAACTGAAAGAAAGAGAGTCGTAGATGCAAAAGGACCTGCCACTCAAGTCCTCAATCCCCTTTCTAATTGCTTTTAAGTTTCTATCATGAGTGTGATTTCTTCACCCATTAAATCCTTACCTGCAGCATAATGCACGTGACTGGTTAAGTGTGTAGCTGTGTGCCCAGGTGGGACCCTCTCCTTCCACAAAAAAAAAAAAAAAAAAAAAAGAAAAAAAAGAAAAGAAAATCATTCTGGGGCTTTTCTTATTCATAAAATGGTTTCTTTCTCCAAAGACTGGAAAGAAAGCAGTATTTCTCAAAATCAGCTGAACAGTCGCAGTACTTGCTGGCCTTCTCTGACACCATAGCCCTTCCTCTAGGATTCACATTGCCCTAGCAGGTCTTCTTGACTAGAAATGAAGCACTTGTCTTTATTCAGGGCAAGGTGGAAGCTGAGTTCCACCTGGTCACAGCCGAAGAAGCCGAGAAGAATCCTGTGGGGAAAGCCCGGAAAGAGCCGGAGCCCTTGGCCAAGCCCAAGTGAGTGCAGCTGTGGGGGAGTGGGATTGGGGAAGGGCCACTGCAGCCCCTCTGGTCTCAGAGGACGCCTGTTCCTCTGGAGCTTCCCTAAGGAGCAGGAGGCAGTCAATCGGTGCCAGGCAACCTGTGTAGCCCTGTGTTTCCACGATTGAACACCATCCTGACAGCAGTGGAGACTTTGGCAAATGGAGAGATCCTTGTCGTGTGGGGACACAGCATTTCTAGATTGCTTTCACATCCTCTTCCTACCCATGTTTCGTGTGAATATGAAGTCCACAGGTTTTTCTACTTGACCTTGAATCAAACATACAGAATTGTCTTAATTTTTTTAAATCCTTCACTGAAAAGTTTTCCTATATTGCCGTAGTTGCCCTAATTAGGATTTTTAATGTCTGTGGAATATTTCACAGACTTAATGCCCACAATTAACTTGATGGTCACCCCCCATCAGATATTCAATTTTCTTCTTTTTTCTATAATTATAATATGACGAAGATATTTTCCTTTTGTAAATCAGTAAATTCCCAGAAGTAGATTTACTATGAAAAAAAAAGGGTTGCTTTATTGAATTTAATTCTTAATTACATATCAAATAAAAAGTCAATAGCTGGGGCTGAGGTTGTGGCTCAGCAGTAGAGCACTCGCCTAGCGTGTGCAAGGCCCTAGGTTTGACCCTCAGCACCACATAAAAATAAATAGATAAAATAAAGGTATTGTGTCCGACTATAACTAAAAAAGAAAATATTAATAAAAAATGAATAGCTATAGATATGAAATCTGCATATAAATACAGAAATTGTGTGTGTCCTATTCCAGGTGTCTCAAGGTGAGCGGCCTTGCCTTTGGGCCTACCTTCCATCTCCCACAGTGCTAGGAACACATTAGGTACTCAGTTATTCATTAGCTCCATTATTTAGAAGCACCCAGTAAAAGAACACTTTGGAGAATTCAGAAGAGATGCAAGACATAGCCACACCTTCCAGCAGATTTCTGTTTACTTAGGGAAAAATAACAGATTCATAAAATGGCTCTCAGAGTGCAGGAGACAAATGTCAGGCGATAGGGGAGTTAGAAATTCAGAGTGAGGCGCTCATCATGGACTGAGGTGGTCAGAGGAGGCTGCAGGCCAAAGTGGGACAAGAGCTGGTCGTGGTGGGACAGTCGGAGGGCAGTGGGGCCTCTGGCTGTAACTCCAGACCAACCTTTAGGCAGCGACAGGGACCCTTGTCACCCCATGTCAGATTGTTCCTGCTTCAGGCAATGTGTGGTCTCTGCCCCCATTCTCAGGGCTCAGAAATTGGGTCCCCAGAAATCTGGAGCCAGAGATCTTTCCTGAGGGCCCGAGAGTCCTGAGTGTTGACCATACGACCCCCTTCCCCAATTTCTCTCTCCTCCCCCAGCCGCCCAGACACCTCCTTCTCTTGGTTCATGAGCCCCTTCAAGTGCCTGTACCACCTCATCTGGAAGAATTACAAGAAGTACATCATCATCGGCTTCATCCTCATCATCCTCATCATCTTCCTGGTGCTCTTCATCTACACCTTGCCGGGAGCCATCAGCCGGAGGATCGTCGTGGGCTCAGGCTCGTAGGGGGCACGCAAGACTGGATCCCCCTTTTTGTAAATCCTTTCCTCTTCCTCATCTGCAAACATCTTAAAAAGTCCTGGGTGAGGCACTGTGCTGAGCACTGAGAAGAGAGAGGCTCAAGAACTGTCCCTGTGTCTCTGAACAGATCCACTCTTCTTGAAGGAGGGGGAAAGAGACGTCCCCTCCCTCCCCAGCCCTTGCCACCATCTTTCAGTCTGTAGCCCTAAGTCATGCTTTATGACATGGAAGAGTGACTCCTTCATCTCTGGATAATCCCCAGGGACCTCCAGTTGACTGAATGAATGTTTACTTTATATCATTAGTTGTATTCAGAGAGATTGAACTCTGGGTCTGAGATTTTCTTACAAGTACCTTATTTTAATTGAAATGTTGCAGCAAACAGACAGATATTTTAGCAAGTGAACAGGTATTTACCCTGTCCTATATATCGTAACCTTTTAAAATCCCTCCAGTTTACAGAATGCAGTCACCAATTCAAGCTGGGAAACTGGCTTGCAGAAAACTCTCATAAATCATCCAACATACTTCATTATTGACATTCCCATCTAGAGACGGAGATATTGCTGGATCTTTTTCATTAAAATGACCATGTTCAATAGTAATCATGAATTCTGAAGAAATCCATTTTGATTTATGCTTTTTGGCAATTTCCAAGAGGAATTTTACAATTTGTTGTAAGATATGTGAAATATAACTCTGTGAGAGTGTGTGTGTGTGCACGTGTGTGAGTGGGTGTCGGGGGCGCTCCACACTACCAGCAGGAATTGTCATTTACCAGGTACACAGAGTACACAGCCATCAAGTACTATGTCCCCATAGACCATGATATGAATATCATAGACCATCCCTGGCATTGTCCAGCACTTAGCCTGACCAACATATATGCAGGCTTCATTATGAGTCTCAAGTGCAAATTAATTTCAAAACCAGTCTTAGGAACAAGATCCCATGCATTTGTCAAGGTCAGTTGTTGTTGAAGGTAAACTTCTGATCTTCACAGCAGTTTATCCAAGCTGCCCTACCTAAGGCACAGGGTTGAAGCGAGGGACTGGTTTTCTCAGATAAAGAAGAAAGAAAAGAATGGCAATGTATTGCCTCAATACTCGAGCAGAATTTTTAGCTTCAAATACAAACAACATGTCAATCATTGACTTCTATTATAAAGGGCCATCTTGGGTGGCATTGAAGAAACTGGTTTGGGATTCCTCTCTTGACACCCAAAGCGCCAGGGCCACCAGTTTCTTTTTTGATCGGCTTGCACAGAGGTGACTCTTGTAAAGGCAAGTGTGTTTACTTCTACATATAAAGTCATTCTAGAATGTTCCTGGTCCATCAGAGAAAGACCAAAACATGTTCTGTGTAATTTTAGATTCAAGCCTCATTCACTGAACTCATCCCTGGTAACCATTGTGTCCTCTTTCTTGAAATGCCGAGAAACAGAATGTGTGCTGCCTCTGTGATGTTTTCATGTGAGGTAGTTACAGCCGCGTGGCTCATTCTTACTGTGCAATGATGCATGGCTGCCAATGATGTGGTCAAAAGTACGTGGTGGCGTGGGACACATGCCTGGAATTCATTTGTATATAAAATAAAATATGCATCAGCAAACGGTATGTATAGCCACGTTGTAGAAAGAAAAAAATATGTGCATACATAGAAAAAATGCCTGGAGGAATATGGCAAGATGTTAATAGAGACTATCTTCAAATAGTATGATCTTTCCTTTCCCTTCTTGTTTTTCCACTTCTCCTAAAACTGCCAAGATAAACATGTATTGGTTTTAATGTACAAAGTTTAATTAATAAATAAATGTAAGTTGACGTGTGTTCCTATCAGGGTATTTATTGGGTATCTCCTATGCCCTGGGCCGTGGGGATGGAGACAAAATAAGATGTGCACGGCCTTTAATTCTGCAGCTCCCCATGAGATTGTCTCATTTTGAGATCACGGGCCATCCAAGAGAAGTAAGAATCGTGCCTCATGGATGAGACTTAAGAAACAGCAACACATCTCTGGTGTTGATGAAAAGAGCAGTGTTATTTTAGGATGAGTTTGGAAGTAAGGTATTGTACTTTCTGCTGGATTCGGAAAGGTAGTTAAAACCATGTCCATCATCGAAACTCACAATAAAAGCAAGGATCGGAACCCCAAGTTAAACAGAGCTCATCAACTTCCTTTGATGCCAAAATACTAAGAACCCTTCAGGTAGAAGCATTTGAAACACTTTTAGATCAGATGCCCTCCTAAGAAACGTGTGAGGAGAAGCGGTGAGCAAGGATGGTTTTGGAATCCGCTCTGCCTGGTGTTCTATACATAGGCTGTGCATATGGTCTGTCCTCGTGTATAACACACTTAAAATAAGATAATGTTCTGTGCCTGACTGTGCAGCCTGACCTTAAAGATATTACAGTAAGAAAAAAAAAAAAAAAACAGATCCCACTTTTCAACAAGTTGTCATGAGCCCTTATTTGTGTTCTTAAATAAGATTCATTTCAATGTATTCATTTGACAACTTACGGGTTTTTCCTACAGCTTAAATTTGTTTCAGAATGGATATATGTAAATAATTTTTATAACATTTTAACTCTTTCCCCCCCCAAAAAATAAAACAAAATTAATACTGGCAAAAATAACAACCAGCCACAGGACAGGACACCCAGTTCTGTGTCACCAGTGTTGAACCGTTTGGTACCTCCCTCACTCTTTCCCCGACAAGACACCTAAATGGTGCTTACCAGACCCACTTCACAGCTGGGGACATTTGGTGTCATTCATTCAACAGGTAATTTCTGACTTCCCTCCTCATTTCAGGTATTATCCTCAACACTGGGTTGGATGGAGAGAAGACATAAATCAATCACATACACAGATAATTAATGATGGCTTGAATCGGGCCATGCACTGGAAGCAGAGGAGCATCTCACTGAGGGCTTCCATCCCAGTCTGGAACAGGGAGGCATCCTGGGGAAGCATGGCTGACGGTAGACAAAGGATGAAGAAGAGGAAAGGTGCAGAGGAAGAGTGCTTGAGATGAAAAGTAGTACATGCAAAGGCCCTGAGGCAGGAGGAAGCAAAGCACAGGAGGCTTCTGAAAGAGAGTGGGTGTAGTGGGAGGCAGAAGGACCCAAGATGGACCTGGAAAGTCCCATAGGGGTCACACTCCTAGGGATGAGGGTCTTTATCTGAAGGGTGATGAGCAGCTGTTTAAGGATTTTCAGCCATGGGGAGACACAGAATCCAGTTCTGTACAGAGAACAGACAGGAGGTACTGTCCCCAGGAGAGAGGTGGCTGTTTTCACTCAGTGCTGGCCCTAGAGGAGGGAAATGGAGGGATCAGAGATCAGATCTCTAAGGCTCCCGGGAGGTTGATGGGCGAGTTGGGATCTAATGTTAACTACTAAAAAACCGGTGTCCTGTGCACATTGCTGACCCACAGCTTCCTCGTGTCCTGTGGGGAGGTTCATCCGCATGGTGACGTCAAGTCCAGGCACCTGCTGGAGCAAAGCTAACCTATGGGTGGTCCACAGCGTGGAGAGTTTGGAGGAGGGAACTCAGGACATTACTCTGGCTGCCACACTGGGAACCGCGGACTTCGTGCCACCTAGAACAGGGACCCTGGAGAGTTTGAGCAGAGAAGTGTCATGGACGGGAGAGGTTGCTGGGCTCATGTGTGTGGTGGGTGGTTGGGGACGAGAGCTGGGCGGAGGACACCTTAGGAAGCAGTGGACATGGAGGACACAGGAGGGACACAGGACCCTACACGGGCCATGGCTGTGGGAATGGGGTGGGAAAGCCAGAGTTCAGAAGGTCAGCGCTGTTCTTCCCAGAGCTGCCCCCAGAGAGGACCAGGGGCTTGGCCCTGGCTCTCATTTCTATCTGGTCACTTCATCTCTGAGTCCCAATTTCCTCCGATAAAAAGGACATAGTGCCCATTTGGCAAGCGTTGTAGAGATCCTGTCCAGTGTCTAGCAGGTGCCTGGCAGGAAGCCAGTCCTCAGAGAGTAGTGGCTGGTGTCACAGGTATAGATTCTATGGTAGGATCACCAGGGCGTGGAATCTGATGGGACATAGGAAGAGAAGAGGCTCGGATTTCAACCGGCCATCTTCCAGGGCCTTGGTTCTCTATGGCTGTGGAGACAGATCTCAGCAACTCGGTGGATCAAGTCCATGCAGGTGTATCACGCTGCAGTTCTGCAGGCCAAGGTCCAACTTGGACCTCACTGAGCCAAACCCCAGGTGTGTCTGCAGGGCTGCCTTCCCTTTGGGAGGCCCCAGGGGAGAATCTGGCAGGGTGTAGAGGCTGCCTCCTGCCCTGGGCTCCATGGCCTCCGGGCTCCAAGGTCAAAGCCAGCAACTCTGCAGCTCCGTGCTCTTCTTCTGTAGTCACAGCTCACATCTCAGTGGAAAAGTTCTTGCTTTTAAGGCCCAGGTGATCCCACGAGGCCCACCCAGATAATCCAGCATAACCCCCGTTCCCAAGTTCTTGATTAATCACATCTGCAAAGACCCAAAGACCCTATTTTTGGGTTCTGGGGATTAGGACTTGGGTGTATTTTTTTTTTTTTTTGGCAGCAGAGGGCATCTCTCTGTCCTGGGTGTCAACCAACCTGTTAGAAAGTCCTTCACGGAGCTATGGAAGGTGGAGGGCTGATTATGGCGTTTGAAGTGGGAGGTGCCGTGCAGACATTTTTCACTCTGGAACAAGAAGTTTCCATTTGCTATGCAGACTCTCAAGTGACAATTATCTCAGTAAAAAGGGAAGGCAGCATTCCAGCCTGGCCCTGGCAGATTAGACCCGGATGCACCCCTGTGAGCCGATCCTCCCACACTGCTGCCCTAAGTTTTTAACTTTCCTTTACTGCAGCAACCATTCCTCCACCGTCAGTCAAGAAAAGCACGTCTCTGTGTTCTCCAGAGCTTGTAAAGTGCGATTTGAGAAAAGCACTCTATTTTTCTAAGTACTGTGTAGCTTATGAATCTTTTGAACTAGGGGAAAGAAAAATGGGTTTTGGAAACAGAGAAACTAGTATTGAAACTTGGGTGTAGACACTGACTCTCTGTGTGACCTTCAGCAGGCTACTCAGCAGCTCTGAATCTTACGTTTCTGATACACGGACTGGAGACATCCCCCATCCTACAGGACCGTGTGAGTTAGGACATGTGCAAATGATCGTGACAGGGTAGAGGTAGAGGAATATTTGTAAGTCGAGTGTGTGGCCTTCCCTGTCACAGGAATTAAAATTCATGACTGCTAAGAAACAACGTCTTCTGAGACCTCTTTAGATGGCAAAGCAACACATCTATTTCCTCACTAATTCTCCCAACAACCCTGCTTTGTAGTGAAGGAAGCAACTCAGGGACTTCAGTTACCTTGGATCCCAGGGTATCCGCGGCTCTGGAAGCTTGCACTAAGATTAGTGGGGCAGACAGAAGGGGGCGAGCCCCTGTTATGGGGGGGGCCACCAGCACATCTCTAGAGGGACTAACCCCAAACGTTTCCACAGAAAAGCAAAATAAAGGTCAGTCTTCCTAAGGCCACAGGTATTTGGTGGGTGTTCTGTGTCATGGGATCAAATCCAAACTCATACAAAGATGCTTTCCTGGACCTCGCAGAAATGAAGCCACTCTCTGCCAGGACTTTATCGGAGTCACCTCATCTCAGACACTAATTCCACAATCGCTGGGTTGGGGAATGTGGAGCCATACTCCTCCCTGAGACTGAGAGCTTGCACTTGGAGGTGACCCTGGTGATGGCAGGTGGCCCAATGGCCACACAGGTCCCATGGACACACCTGACTTCCAGGAGCGGGAACTGCAGACTTGTGCTCAGATGCAGCAGAGACCCACGGGTCGGTGAGTGACCATCATGCTTTCCCCAAGTGAATAGCATTCTTCCCAATTTACAGACCAAGACTTCAAGGCTCCACAGGTGATGATGAGGAAGCCCTGTTTGGTTTTACAAACATCTTCCCTCCTTCTTCCCAACACAGGCATTACCATATGCCAGTCTGGATGTGGCTACCCTAACAATTAAGGATCTCATTTTCTTACCCATCTTTGTGATGTCTAAAATTCTCCAATGAAACCACTTGCTGAGTGTAGACCACTGATTTTTCAATAGAGTATTTAAAAATCTGATCGTGGCGAGCCATTCTGATGGCTGTCCCCTGCTCCTGCAAGAGAGTCACCTTCTGCTATGAGAGCCCACCTGGGGCTCTCAGGAAATCTGCAGTGGCTCCTTTCTCAGTGGCATCTGTTGGTTAGAATCCAGGCGCTGGGTGGCCACACTGGCTGCCGCTACAGGACATTTGCACTAAGGCAAACTTTGAAAGCGCACCGAGAGGTATAGCTGCTCTGTTCCGGTGGGTCCTCCCCACTGGGCGGGGCTTCCTTCCTGCTCTCAAGCCCCAGGGAACCTTATTTTCACCTCTTGGTGACACAGGCCACATTGTACCAGGCTCTAGGCTTCCCACTTACCATCTCCCTCTCTTGACGCTGGGTCACCGCAGGTCATGGAAACTGAGGGGTGGAAATAGCGTCACAGCACCCACTGCCCCAGTTCAACGTGGCTCCTTAGGAAGTCCTATTTCCTGGCTCAGGAAATAAAAACTCACTCTAAGATAAAACCTTAAACCAGGCTGAGGTTCAATGCCATCTTTTCACCCCAGGCCCAGCAACAGGAATGGGTATGCGGTTGGTCCCCCGGCCAGTGCTGGCTACGGACAGGTATGAAGAAGTGTGCAGACGGAGGATTTTGAAAAGTTCTGATTTACCTGATAACAAATAAGTGGCACCAGTCCTGCCCTTTGTGCCTCTCCCTGAATCC